GTGTGTGTGTGTGTGTGTGTGTGTGTGTGTGCGCGCGCCCAATCAACTGCTTACCTCTGTTCAACGAATCAATCTCAACGCAATTCTCTCTCTCTCTCTCTCTCTCTCTCTCTCTCTCTCTCTCTCTCTCTCTGTGTGTGTGTGTGTGCGCCCAATCACCTGCTTACCTCTCTATTCAACGGAATCAATCTCAACGCAATTCAAAGCGAAGTTCCCACTCGGTTGCGTACAAGCATGCATTGAATAGTCGGTGAGATTTTCCTCAGAAACGTGCATACGAGGTCAGTTTCGTCAAGTTAATGCTGAAGATGCGCGGAAGCGACCGCCAAGTCGCCCGTCGTCCGATAGTCACAAAAAATTACACGCGACGTACACGTCTGTCACTGAATCAGTGGTGAAGGTTCGCCGAATAGACGATGAACTGCTGGTGAAGTGAAGATTTGATTCCCTTTCTCACATGTAACGGTGAAGGTTCGCTGAAGCGTCCGTGGACCGTCCGATGCACACAGGCTTACACTCGACTCGACGCGCAAGTAACATTGAATCAGTGGTGAAGGTTGGCCGAACTGAAAGGCGAACGATTCCTCAGATGGATGGAGGAGCCGCCAGATCATGTCCTCCGGCTTTCCCCTCGACAGACGTCGGCCCGCGAAGAGGACCACGTAAGTGGCAGGGTGGGTGTAAGGATAAGTATTGTCGCAGAATATATATCATCGAGCTCGGCAGTCGATCGGCAGAGAACGTGGCCAGTGGCAGCCAGCGCCGCTACGGTGACGGAGTGGGGAACGGAAGCGGAGGAGGAGGAGCAGGAGCAGGGGGAGGGAGAGGAGAATGGAAGGGATCTTGTTATATCCTCTCCGCTCTCACACCCGTTTCTCTTTCCTCTCCTTTCTCTCCTCCTTGAAGGAGATCACCATTCGTTTGGCACAGATTTCTCTCTCTCTCTCTCTCTCTCTCTCTCTCTCTCTCTCTCTCTCTCTCTCTCTCTCTCTCTCTCTCTCTCTGACACACACACAGACACACACACACAGTGTGGCGTAGTCATGCTTTTTTTGGTGGAGTTCTGTATGCGGACATGATAACACACACACAATGGTTTGGAGCGACAGTCTGCTAGGTTTGCAGGGTTGGTCTGAGCAAAGTCGACCGTTTTTTCACGGGTGTTGCTAACTCTGGTTAACGCGGTTTGGAGCGACAGTCTGCTAGGTTTGCAGGGTTGGTCTGAGCGAAGTCGACCGTTTTTTCACGGGTGTTGAGTCGGTGAAAGTCCATCGAAACAGTCTGGCAGGATCATGCTTTTTGTCCGTAGTTGTTATAGCGAACATGCTTACAACACACACACACACACACACACACACGTGTGTAGTATATATTTTTAGCTCTTCTATCGCAGCGCCAAAGACGTTACACTGCTAATTTAGCCCCCCTGACTGTTTTTGTAGACACAGGTGAAAAGAAGGCATCCGAGTGCAGCGACCGTGGATGCGGTCTATATCCATCCGGCAACATCTGGTCTCTCTCCACTCCTCTCTCCACTACTCAACATTCGACGCGTATCCAGACTGTGCGGTGGACCAGAGGCATTCGGACTTGTCGAACGTTTTGAATGTACCCCGGCCACTATTGCCTCCAGATACATTGAGAATGTTATGCAGTGCAGCGAGGCCCAGCACATGTAAACAACACCCGGCCGATCATTGCCGAATCTTACGGATGTATTGTACTAACGCGCAAATCCACTCTAAATAGTCGGACGACGACGCAGGGCCTCGCTCCACTGCTCAACAGTCTACATCTATCGGAAGTGTACTATGGACGACATACTTTCCGACTGATGAATTTTAGAACCTTGGCGGTGGAGAGAGAGCCTCAGTGAGATATGCCCTCAGGATGACACCTGTGCATCTTCTGCTCCGAGACCACAGACGCAAACTCATGTTCGTGAGGCACACTCAACCCTCTCTGCTACGGAGCTGCTGCTTTTTTTTTTTTTTTTTTTTTTTTTTTYTTTTTTTTYTTTGGGGGAAAGCATAAGCATTTATTGCACAAACCAGTGGGGCGAGGCCGGGGACCTCACAATCCAACCCGGGATTAACCTGGCAGCCTCAGCCAGTTTCGCTTACGAGCTTGCGCTCGCCTGCCAAACGACTATTGCACCAATGTCACGGCCCAAAACCAGCTGAAAACCGGGTCCAGCATCCCATCCTAATGTACTTTCCAAAAAATAAGCTTTGAAGCTCAGGGTAAAAAAAAAGGGGAGTAACCTACCAAGGGTTAACTCGATGATACTTGAGAGGCTTATGTAAGCTGGGGAAAGCTCAGCAATTCCACAAATGAACCTGAGCCAACTGACCCTCCAACAGAAACCGAACAGACAAATCCGTAACCATTCCTCCGTCTCCCTACTGAGCCTAGTGTGCCTCTCTACCCCCAACCCAACCAACTGGTCCAAAATAGGGTCCAAACCGAGTGTAAAACTTATTACCTCAGAGCGAGCCTAACCGGGACTCTACACCTGAAACCCGTCTCTCCTCTTTTGTAACCAGTTGGGAATCCGAAGTTGTCCGTCCTGCTTCACAAAAGCAAATCGGCCTTTCAGTGCCCAGGTCTTCAAGAACCAAGCCTTCCCTTTCCCTTTCTGTCCAGAGCACTTCCTCCAGTCCGAGAGCACCTGGAGGCGGATATTCAACCCGGAGCTGCTTTTCGCCTGTCACGAAGTGGGGCAAAATATGCTCTCATGGTCGTCCCAGTGTGAATGTGCCTTGAGCGAGCCGTAGCCGCAGGACGCACAAGAGTCACTCCTCGTCCGACCTAGCAAAAGCCAGTTCGTGAGCATACAATACAGACTGCCTGTAGAGGCAGCTCACCTATTTGGTCAGGGTATACTCACACAAGGGCTTCCCTGGATGTGTATGACCGCTTTTCCAACAGGCGTGGATGGTAGGACCACCGAGAAGTTGAAGAAGTCCTAGGGCCTAGCTCCACTACTGTCCGCTGTACAAATTTGTGGACAGTTCACGGACAGCAGTCAGAGAGTTCAAAACCGGGGAAAACGCAACATTGCTCCACTTACTGTCCGCTGTACACCTCTCAAATTCGTGAGTTCACTACCAGACAGTGATAGAACTACAAGACTGCATCCATAGGGTTTTGTCCGCCCGGACTCCAGGTGCACTCTCCAAATTTCCATCCTCACGGTGAGTCCCGTGAAGGACTTTCCGCGTAATGAACTTTGCAGGCTGGGAGCTGTACATTCACGGGCAGTCGACTTTCCACGGGGTTTGTGAACACTGTCCAAGCCATTTTGCACATGTACAGTGGACAGTAAGTGGAGCAAAGTATGACTGTCCGTTTTTGTACAGTGGACAGTAGTGGAGCGAGGCCCTTAGCGTGAGTACGCCCTCGGTCAGGGCCACAGAGAATGCACGAGGAATAATGCACGAGGAACAGCTTTATTCGTTATTGGTCACAATCAACTAGTACACGGCCCCAGCCTTGCAGTCCGAAACTTGTCGCCACAAGAAAATGAGGCCAAAAAGTCAAACGCTGGGTCTGCCGTTGATAAATTGGATCGGTTTTCGTTTCGCGCTTGCAGAATTCGAGGTGTCAGGCCCATGGCCCAGGTGCCGATGTACTGGTGCTTTAAGACAGGAGGATGGGACACGAAACAATGGGCCAATAGCAGGGGTGAGGGGAGGTACATCTTCCAGATTGGAAGTAATCAATGCCGCCCACTCGAGTCTCCCTACCATCAAGGGGATAAGCATGGAGTGTGTTATATGCTGTTCTCTGACTTGCCGGTGGAATAGGAACGGGACTGATGCTCCCCGGAATGGATATGGAGCCCGAGCCATAAGGCTCTGTTTAAAATATAAAGAAAAAACAGTGAGTGGTAGATGCCCGCACCACAAGCAAAAACGGAGCACTATTGCTAATCATGGGCATCACCACACCAAACTAACGAAATGAAAAACAACACGAGTGCATCTTCCCACAGAAGGTAGTTGTTGTATTCATCCGGTACTATTCACTCGCATTGTTTTTCATTTCTTCAGTTGCATGGAAAGGCCACATATGCGGCATATCTCCATTAGAGTCGTGTTCCACTGGTCTTAATCGGGAGATTTTCCTTACTCAGTCTGGTAGGACCCCACTGCTTGGCGATGCTTGGTGCCAGGAAAACATCCACCAGCCCAAAATCGTAGCCGATGGGAATGAGCAAGAGAAAAGGGACTCCACCACCACAGCAGATTTCAGCACCTCAGGAGGTTTAGATTACTTGATCAGGAAAACTTTCCCTTTCAGGCAAGTTGGCCTCCTCTTTTTCAGCACACTATCCAATCCCTGTGCCTCCTTTCCGCACTGGATGGCAGAGGGCTGGACCCCACACACTGGCAGAAACAGTTTTCAACGTCCACTTTCGAGACTCCACTGGTGGCGGTAAAAGCAAGCGTCTTTGTTTCTACTCTGCCCACTTCCACCTCTTCAGAACAACATCCAATCCCTGTGCCGCCTTTCTGCAAGGGATGGCTGAATCCAGCGTGTTGGAGGGCTACCCTCTAGATTAGCCATCCCGTGCGGAAAGGAGGCACAGCCTCCACACAGGGATTGGATGTTGTGCCGCAAACGAAGGGGGGGGGGGGGGGGAGGAACACACTTGCCCGGGAGGGCAAGTCTTTCTGATCCGGTAACCTAAACCTGCGGAAGTGCCGGATTTTTCTGTGGCGGTGGAGTTCCTTTACTCTTTCCCATTCCCATAGCCTACGATTTTGGCCTGGTGGATGCTACCGCCAGGCAGTGGGGTCCAGGTCTGAATCTAGAGGCAGTTTTCGCTGAACGAAAAGGTGGCCAAACGAACCCTCCAGGCTCAGCCATCCCGTGTGGAAAGGAGGCATGGCGATTGGATGGTGTCCTGAAAAAGCGGAGGTA